ATGGGGCTTGAACTCACAACTGAGATGAAGACCTGAGCTAAAATCAAGAGTTGGAAGCATGCAGGCATTCCCAAGATTTTGCGATTTTAATGCATAATTTTATATAATTATATTTTCTCCCATTTCTTAGCTTATCACTTTTACTTGTTTTTATTTCAGTGGTTGCCCTAGGGTTTGCAGTATACATAAACAACTAATTAAGTCCATTTTCAAATAATACTATACCACTTCATGGGCAATATGAGTACTTTATAACAAAATAATCCTAGTTCCTCCCTCTCATCCTTTGTTTCATTGCTGCCATTTATTTCACTTTTTCATAAGCATATCTACATACACACACTATACATAGACACATAAATGCATACATAATCAAATACAGTGTTGGTATTATTATTTTGAAAAACTGCTGTTAGATCAATTAAAAGTTTAAAAAGAACACCTACAAAAATCCTATAGCTTAAAATTATATTCTTTTTAAAATATTTTTTATAGATTTTATTTATTTATTCATGAGAGACACAGAGAGTGAGAGAGGCAGAGACACAGGCAGAGGGAGAAGCAGGCTCCATGCAGGGAGCCCAACATGGGACCCGATCTCGGGTCCCCAGGATCATGCCCTGGGCTGAAGGTGGCATTAACCACTGAGCCACCGGGGCTGCCCTAAAATTATATTCAATATTAAAAAACTAAATGCTTTCCCTTTAAAATCAAAAACAATGTCAGTATGTCCACCCTCACCACTACTATTCAATATAATACTGAAGTTTTTAGCCAGCATAATAAGGCAATAAAGGGAGATAAAAGGCACACAAATTGGAGAGAATTAAAACTGCCCCTATTTGCAGATGAATGATGTTCTACATAGAAAATCCCAAGGAATCTTGCTCCAGAAGGAACTGTCTGAGGGATCGTAAGGGATTTCTAAATATGGGAAAGGGGAATAAATCACTTGTTGAAGTCAATTGTACATATATATTTGCAGGTCTAAAGAAAGAACAAGGTCTAAAGAAAGAACAAGGCCTATATAACAGGAATCCAGTTCTTCAGGGATACCAAAAGGGAATTTTCAAGTCATTTTTGGTGCAACCTAGCTGTGGAAATTAGCATACAATTGTTTGAGCCTTGCTGAATAAAAGTTTAACCTTCCAAAAAAAAAAAAATCCCAAAGAATCTATAAAAAGAAAAAAAATCTGAGAATAAGAATTCAGTAACATGGTAGAATACAATATAAACACACTCCAAATATATATACTTCTATGTATTAGTAATGAACACAGAAACACTGAAATTAAAAATATAAAATTCATAATCATTCATAAAAAAAGAACAAATAAATGTTCTATTCTATATTCACATATTCCTTTTCTGGTATTTCCTTCCTTTATGTAGGTCTGAGTTTCTGACTTCTATCATTTTCCTTCTAAGTAACATTTCTTTTAAGAAAATATATGAGGGAGGGGGAGGGTGGAGAGGGGATGGGCAGAGGGAGAAGAGAGAACCTTAAGCAAGCACCACACCTAGCCCTCAGCCCAACTCAGGGCTTGATCTCACAAGCCTGAGATCATGACCTGAGCCAAAGTCAAGAGTTGGATGCTTAACCAACTGAGCCACCTAGGTGCCCCTTTTCTCAACACTTTAAACATTTCATTCTACCTCTTCTTACTTGCATTGTTTCTGAGGAAAAGTTGGATTTAATTCTTATCCTTGCTCCTCTGTAGGTACAGTGATTTTTCCTCTGGTTTCTTTCAGGATTTTCTATCTTTGATTTTCTACAGTTTGAAAAATGCTATGTCTAGGTGTAGTTTTTTGGCATGGAAGGTTTTTGTTTTATTGTTTGGCATTTATCTTGCTTGGTATTTTCTGAGCTTCCTGGATCTGTGGTTTGCTGCCTGACATTAATTTGGGCAAATTCTTAGTCATTATTGTTTCAAATATATTTTCCATTTGTCTCTTTTTCTTTTCGTATTCTATGATGTGAATGTCTTAAGTCTGGGCAGCTATAATGAAATACAATAGATTAGGTGTGGCTTATAAACAATAAATATTTATTTCTCACATTTCTGGAGTGGGAAGTCCAGGATGATGGCACCAAATTTTGCGTCTGGTAAGGGCTTGCAGGTTCATAGACGGCCTATCTTTTTGCTGTGTCCTCCAATGGTAGAAGAGGCTAGGGAGCTCTGTGGGGCCTCTTTTATAAGGGCACACACAACCCAATTTTGAGGGCTCTGCCCTTATGACCTAATCACCTTCCAAAACTCCACCATCCAATACCATCACCTTAGGGATTAAAATCTCAACATATGAATTTGGGAGAACACAAACATTCAGACCATAACAGTGTATATCACAACTTCTGTAGCTGTCCCACAGTTCTTAGTTTTTTTTTCTCTTTATTTTTCATATTTATAGGTTCCAACTGAGGCAACATCAAGCTCAGAGATTCTTCCCTCAGCCATGTCCAGTCTACTGATAAGCCCATCAAAAGCATTTTTCATTTCTGCTACAGTGTCTTGGATCTCCAGTGTTTCTTAGAATTTCCATCTCTCTTGTTCTTGCATGCTATCTACTTTATCCATTAGTGCTATGAGCATATTAATCATAGTTGTTTTAAATTCCTGGTGTAATAATTCCAACATCCCTGACATTACATGAGTCTAATTCTGATGTTTACTCCTTCTCTTCCAACTGTGCTTTCGGGGCATCTAGATAGCTCATTCAGTTAAGCATCCAACTCTTGATCTCAGCTCAGGTCTTGATCCCAAGGTTATGAGTTCAAGCCCTGCAGTGGGCTCTATGCTAAGCATAGAGTCTACTTACAAAACAAATATAAATTTAAAAAAAATTAAAAAGCTGTGCTTCTTGACTTTTGGTATGTCTTGAAATTTCTTCTTGATAGCTCGGCATGACATACCAAGTAAAAGGAAGTGCTATAAATAGGCCTTTAGTAATGTGGTAGTAAGGTATGGGGGGAAGAGAAAGGGGAAACACACCAAAGTCCAATGACTGAGTTTCCTTTAGTGAGCCTGTGCCTCTGGGGTATGAACTTCACAAATATTTTTCAGTCCTTCACTCACCCCTCTTAGGTGGGAGAGGATGGTGTAAGTGGGAGGGAGTTTGGCATTTCCCTTCTCTCACATGGAAGTCTAGAGCTGGCTCGAGTTGGGTATTTCCCTTCCCCTGAGTGAGTTAGGCTCTGGTTAACTAGGTTCTCCTGATGGCAGACCTTGTTAAGAAAAGAATGTTCTGCAGTATTTTTAAATAGTTCCTTTGCCCCCTGCCAGAAGTGTGAGGGGATTTTTCTCAATATTTTAAGTTTAAGAACCTGGTCGATATCCAGGAGTTAAAACACAAAACTGGATGTAGGGTTTGGGGGAGTTTCAATGACTAAGTCCTCCTGGAGCTTTTAACTCCCAGCAATTCACCAACAATTACAGCCCATGTTTCCCTACTCCAGGACTGGTTCCCACAGAGGTGTCTGCTCCTACAAGTTGTGATTCTCTGTATTCAACTATTGGTCTCCAATTTTCAGGGCAACAGTTTACCCTTACCACCTCACTTCTCTTATAAATCTAAGAATTTGTTGATTTTTCTATTTGTTTGGCTTTTTGCTTGTTGTTAGGACAAGTGACTTCCAAGCTTCTTACACGCCATATTGGAAACTTTTGTCCATTTTTTGATGGAATTATTCACATTTTTATTGTTAAGCTGTAAAAGTTCTTTATATATTCTGGATACAAAGTCCTTTATCTGATATATGAGACTTGCAAATATTTTCTCTCACTCTGTGAGTTCTTTCTGTTGATGGTGACCTTTGCAACACAAAAGTTTTTCATTTTAATAAGTCCAACTTATTTTTTTCCTTTAATTTCTTCAGCTTTTGGTGACATATCTAAGAAATGATCATGAGCTGGTTATGACTTATAACTGTTTTCTTCTAAAAATTTCATAGTTTTAGTTATTATATTTAGGTCATTGGTCCATTTTGAGTTAATTTTTATATATGGTGTGAAATAAGGGCCAACTTCATTCTTTTGCATGTGGCTAACAAGTTGTCTCAGCAACATTTGTTGCAAACACCATTCATTCCCCATGTGCATCTTATTCTTCACACTGACTCTTCTCTAAGACGGTGTAACACCCTTGTTTTCCATATCATTTTCTTGAGTGCCCCACAGTCTGTTAACTTTGCTGACAGAACCTCAGAAAAACCAAAAGACAGCTGGAGAACTATTTATACCATAAATAAATAAGTACATAAACATAAAGCAAACTGTATCTAATACTATAAATATAAGCACATAAACATAAAGCAAACATATAAATTAGGCCTCAAAACTATCTATGATGTTTGATACATTTATACATTTACTCAATTCTCACTTAAGGTACTGTTGTTCTAAATGTGCAGGTCCAGGGCTAGGCATGGGGATGCACAGATGAACGAAAGTTTTTTTCTTGCTCTTGAGGAGAAAGATAAAAAATAAAATAATTAAGCTGTATTGGGTCATCTGGGTGGCTGAGTGGTTGAGCGTCTGCCTTTGGCTCGGGTCACAATCCCTGGGTCCTGGGGTCAAGCAAGTCCTGCATCAGGCTCCCCACAGGAAGCCTGCTTCTCCCTATGTCTCTGCCTGTCTCTCTGGGTCTCTCATGAATAAATAAACAAAATCTTAAAAAAAAAAATTAGACTGTTTTAAAAGTATGAATTTACTCAGCCCAGGGAGCACAATTGTTTCTACTTTACAGAAGGCACAGATGATATATGAAGGAGAGAAATGACTCATTCAAAATCACACTTGCAAAGAGTGATGGCAAAAGGGTCACAGAACTTATGGGTAAAATCAAAGACAGGGCTTAGGGCCTTAAACGACCAAATCAATGGCTAGTCACAAAATCCTCCTAGAGTCACATTATGATTTTCATGGGGCCCAGGTATTTCTGCCTTTGTGAGCCCCTTACTCCATTAAAAAAAAATACATACATATATATTTTTAAATACAGCGCTCAGTTGGGCAGCACATACACTAAAATTGGAATCATACAGAGAAGATCAGCATGGCCCTTCTGCAAGGATGACACACAAAAATATATTTTATGACTATATTGCTATAAAGATGTATAATCCAAGCTAGACTGTATTCACATTTTTCTTCTTAAAGGAAATTAAGACATTTTTGTGGGTCCCTGGGCACTGTGTCTAATGGATTGAAGTCAGCTCTGGGTCCTGCTGTCTCCCCACAGCTATGAACCAAGTGTTCTCTCCCCAGATGCCAAGTCACTTTGCTCTACAGCTTCTAAGATTCTATTCTCTCCTGGGCCTATTTGACTAAACAGCATGTGGTTTAAGTTCACACTAAATCTCACAGCCTAAATCCACCATAAAAGGTAGCCTCGGGCAGCTCGGGTGGCTCGTGGTTTAGCGCTGCCTTTGGCCCAGGGCGTGATCCTAGAGACCCAGGATCGAGTCCCACATCAGGCTCCCTGCGTGGAGCCTGCTTCTTCCTCGGTCTGTGTCTCTGTCTCTCTCTCTCTGTCTCTCTCTCTCGCTCTCTGTCGCTCATGAATAAATAAATATTAAAAAAAAAGGTAGCCTCACTCTATTCATATGAGCACTATAATGTCATTGGAAAAATCACTTGACAATAATGTGTACTCTGTGTTCTAGAAAGGTTTAGATACATTAATGAATGATCACACCCAAAGAAAGAAACAGACATGTCACTGACCTGCAAACACCAAAGGCATGAGAAGCATGTACCTGGCATCTTGAAAGTAGCCAATTAGTATTTGTTTGTTCACTCATTCAGTCACAAGACAAGCATAAAACAAAGTCTATTCCCTTATAAAATTTACCTTCTAATAAGAAAACGGATAATAAACATGTAAATAAACATATATTTATATATGAAATAAATTCTGGTAGTGTTACGAAGGAAAATAAAACACGTAAGAGGGGATCCCTGGGTGGCGCAGTGGTTTAGCGCCTGCCTTTGGCCCAGGGTGCGATCCTGGGTTCCCGGGATCGAATCCCACGTCGGGCTCCCGGTGCATGGAGCCTGTTTCTCCCTCTATGTCTCTGCCTTTCTCTCTCTCTTTCTCTGTGACTATCATAAATAAATAAAATTAAAAAAAAAAAAACACGTAAGAAAAGAAAAGAAAAGAAAAGAAAAGAAAAGAAAAGAAAAGAAAAAGGCAGATTGGGCAGCCCAGGTGGCTCAGCAGTTGAGTGCCGCCTTCAGCCCAGGGCCTGATCCTGGAGACCCGGAATCGAGTCCCACGTTGGGCTCCCCACATGGAGCCTGCTTCTTCCCTCTGCCTGTGTCTCTGCCTCTCTCTCTCTCTCTCTCTCTCTCTCTCTCTCTCTCCCTGTGTCTCTCACGAATAAATAAAATCTTAAAAAAAAAAGAAAGAAAAAGAATAAAGAAAAGGCAGATTATTTTGTTGCTACACTGTAGACACTCATTTCCCCAAAAGATTTCCAACAACAGGAGAACATGCTGGGTGAGATAGCCAGTAGAACATACCCCATAAGGTATGTCTTGTTTCCTTGGGTTTTATCTCATTCCCACTTTTCACCCCCAAAAATGGCTTTAGGGCAAAGATTATCTTTCTCAGTGAAGAAAAGAGCAGTTGAGATCCTAGTAATCTAGCATAGCTATTTAATTGTTATATATCAATGAACAGGGAACTTCCTCTATGCCTCAATTTCCCCATATATAAAATGAGGGGGTGGCTTAAGTAATTTTCAATGTCCTTTAAAGCTAAAATACTGTAATAATTCACACCAAATCTGTCTAACTCCAAAGCTTTGGAGTCAACTGTAATACCATGGCTTTCCAAACTGCCAGTTTCCTTAGTTACCATAGAATTAAAAACAAAATGCCTTCAATATGGTAAGGTGTGATTTAACAGGATGCTACCAAATTAAATGAATGAAACTTCACCAAGTGACTACCACAGGCATGCATCAGGAATATTAATCAGTCAGAGGATGGCCTCTTGTACTAGCTTCAAGTACCTGCTAACTACAAAGGGCCCTAAACTCCTGAACCCCATCTACCAGGCAAGCTGGAATTTCAGAGGTCCCAACTGATCCTTCCAAATCAGGGACTGATCAACCATGCAGCTAGAGACTTCATTCTTTCACAAAAATTAGAGATGAATAAACCCAACCTTTGTGGTGAGGTACTCACGTTGGTAGGGGGCAGGGAAGGGGAGGAAACAGGACACAACAAACTATTAAACATAAAATAGTATGACATTAAAACAAAATACTATGTAAGCCCAAAGAAAGAGATTAGCTAGTTCCTGGACCTGGTAGGAATACAGCACAACAGGCTGGCTGCCTCTTCTATCCTGTGGGGACAGATGCTCTGGTCCACTGGGTGATTAGGATAACAAGTACAAAGGTTCACAGGCTCTCCATATTTGTAACTCTCCATTCTCCTCTCATTCACATGCTTCTTCAACTCCGTAGCCTTGCCAAGATTTCAAGGCCAATAAATCAAAGTGCAACCACCTCGCTTTTAAAAAAAGACTTCATGAATCAGCTGGGAATCACACAGACGTTGGATCTGCTTGGCCAAACTGTAAGGAGACCTGATATAGACAGCACACTTTGAGCAGGAAAGTGAAAGTAGATACTGGTGGTAACAACTGCTATGGCTGCTGCCTGTCCATCACACCACCTCCCCTACCATCATCAGAAAGCCAGGCCAGCTGAGTTGGCAAGGCCAACCCGTCCTCCAGGCCAGCTTATTCTCCAGGTCAGCTGAGTTGGGAAGCATTTTAATGAAAAGTTTCAAATATATATAAAAGTAGAAGGAATAACTTAATGACCTTTTCCCCACTCAACAATTATCAAATTTGGGGGCGCCTAACATTCTTTGATTCTTCAAGTCCTTTCCCATCAAATTCCTACTTTTCAGACTAGCTTCTTCCCCACCTGGCCCTCTCTTACTTTCTCCTACGTGCACTCCAGCCTCCCATGCACTCTATACCTTTTTACCAATAAGATCCAATCCAGGTGCCACCTCTTGCAGAAACCTTTTCAGAGCAAAACGATCCTTTGTGTGAACTCCTTTAGAGTTTGGACTATTCATCTGCTAATCGCATCTACCCACCTATGGAATCTTCCTTGAATTTTTCATTGCCACAACTCTTTAGTTCAGACTTTATCCCTTGCTCTCTCCTACTAGAGTACTGCAGTGACATCCCAGGTGATCTCCCTGAATCTAATCTTGCCAGAACAGATTCATATATGACAGCAACCACACTTCTCTTTATCAGACACAAAATTGTCCTCATCACCCTCTACTTAGACTTTGTTTTTTTCTTTTTTAATCAATTTTTTTTAGTATTCAAATCTGCCATACATAATACTTTTTATTTTATTTTATTTATTCATTCATTCATGAGAGACACACAGAGAGAGAGAGAGAGGCAGAGACACAGGCAGAGGGAGAAGCAGGCTCCATGCAGGGAGCCCGATGTGGGACTTGATCCCAGGACTCCAGGATCATGCTCTGGGCCGAAGGCAGGTGCTAAACCGCTGAGCCACATAGGGATCCCCTCTACTTAGACTTTGATAACTTTCTATTGCCTTTGGGTTAAATCCCAAACTTCTTTGTATGATACACAAGGTACTTCATAATCTGGTTCAACCAGATACTTACCTCACTACTCTCCACCAAATGGCCTACACTCCAGCCAGAGAGAACCACCTATCATTCTAACATGCCCTTCCTTTTATCGCTTAGTGCTTTGCCCCATGCCATCTTCTCTCCCTAGAATTCTTTCCTCCCCTTCATCACTTAGTTCATTTCTATCACCTCCTTTATGAGACATTCTCCACTGTTACTCATTCACACATCTATTCAACAACTGTTAGATGAACAAACATATGGTAAGTTCTAGACTGGGGATACAATGATAAATAACAGCTCTCACTCTGAAGATGCTTAGGGTCTGGTAGATCTCCTCAGGTGGAGTGATTCCTCTCTCTTCTGCAGAAATTTGCAATTTACACATATCTCCAAAGTTACATTTATTAGTTTTTATACTTGTCTCTGAGTCTATTTCCATAACTAGATTCTAATCATCTTGAGGTCAAGAATCTTTTTTAAAAAGCTTTCTTGAGGCACAGCATCTATTTTAGGTGGACCACTGAATGATTGTTCACATATTTACAGAGTTGTACAATCATCTTATCTTAAATAATTTCCATCACTTTAAAAACAAACCTCATTCTCATTTGCCAACACCCCATTCATACCCTCAGACCTGATCAACTACTAGTCTACTTTATATCTCTACAGATTTGTCTTTTCTGGACCTTTTTTTTTTTTTAAAGATTTAATTTATTTATTCATAAGAGACACACAGAGAGAGGCAGAGACATAGGTAAAAGGAGAAGCAGGCTCCATGCAGGGAGCCCAATGTGGGCCTTGATCCCAGGACTCCAGGATCACACCCTGAGCTGAAGGCAGATGCTTAACTGCTAAGCCACCCAGGTGTCTCATGGACCTTTCAAATACATGAAATACAAACTGCAGTTTTTTTGACTGGCTTCTTTCAGACACTATGTTTTTTCAAGGATCATCCATGTTCTAACGTGTATCAGTAGGTCACTCTTTTTTCTTGCCAAGTAATGTTCCATTGTGTGGCTATATGTTTTATTTATTCATTTATCAGTTGATAGACATTTGTGTTGTTTCTACTTTGGGGCTATTATGAATAATATTGCCGTGAACATTTATGCATAAGCTTTTGTGTGTACACATGTTTTTATTTCTCAAGTATCTATCTTAGGAGTGGAATTACTAGGTCATATGGTACCTCTATGTTTAACCTTTTGAGAAATCACCAAATCATTTCCCACAGCAGCTGCATCACTTTACATTTCCACTAGCAGCCTATGAGGGTTCCATTTTCTCCACCTCCTTGGCAACACTTATTTTGTTATTATAGTATCATAGTGGGTATGAAGTGGTATCTCACTGTGGTTTTGATTTGCATTTCTCTGATGGCTAATAAAGTTTAAAATCTTTTCATGCGCTTACTAGCCATTTGTATATTTTCTTGGGAAAAAAAGTCAAATTCAGATCAT